AATTAGCCAGCTGGACTCAGTTTAGATGATCCCAATTTTGTTGGCAACATTCAAAGAAAGCATCATAGTCAGGAACTAGTTGAACATCTTCCTTCTTTTTCTCCATCAGGCCTGATGAAGGTGTTGACCTTGGCTACGTCAATGTCATAGAGCTTCTTCACAGCCGGTTTGATCTGGTGCTTGTTGACCTTGACATTCACAATGAACACAAGTGTGTTATTATCATCAATCTTCTTCATGGCTGACTCAGATAGTGGTCAAGCTTGTTTCTCTTGGGGGTGCTTTTCCAAGGATATTTGGGCTGCCGCCGGAGCCTTAGAGTCTTGGGCTGCAGGAAGGTGGGTGATGTGCGGATCTTCTTTTTTGTGGCTGTGGATGCCTTTCAGCACTGCCTTCTTAGCCTTCAACGCCTTTGCTTTGGCTTTAGCTTTGGGAGGGACAGGGTCTTCCTTCTTCGCTTTGGGTGCCATCTTCTTAAAAAGCCTGGCTATACTTCTTATAAACATAGATTTGTTTGTTCTTACTAGGTTATTGTAAATCTGAGAGTGCAACCTATAGGGTAGAGGGTTTCAACACAGCAGTTTATAGTCTTAGTAGGTCTGTGAAATGTATCTACTATGTTGTGTCTGTCAGCAGCTCATTTGTTGTTAGTGGCATTTCACTGAATGAATATATCACAGTTTATGCTGCTGGTGAACATTTGTTGCAAACATTGGTCATGTTTTTAGAAGACATTAGCACTCATTTCTGTTGAATATATATCCAAGATTAGAACTGCTGGGTCATAGAATCTATCAGTATGTTTAGCTGTAACATCTATGTACGTTTAGAATCTATCAGTATATTTAGCTGTAACATATATGTATGTTTAGAATCTATCAGTATATTTAGCTGTAACATATATGTATGTTTAGAATCTATCAGTATGTTTAGCTGTAACATATATGTATGTTTAGAATCTATCAGTTTGTTTAGCTGTAACATATATGTATGTTTAGAATCTATCTGTTTGTTTAGCTGTAACATATATGTATGTTTAGCTTTAGTCCCAACTCCATTGTCATCAAGTTGATTCCAGCCCATAGTGACAGGGATTCCGAGACTATAA